CTTGTTGATTTCTTGCCAGTGGCTGCTCACCGTTGGAAAAAAATATACCTCCAACCCCACGAATCTAATAAAGTGTCCCATGATCGGGCACCTATTAAAATAACAGGAAGCATAGTGTCCGGCCCCCATCCATGAGAGGCACCTGTGGGGGAGGGGGACCTGACTGGTGTGCTGCAACTGCATTCTTCAAATCCCACCACAGATTTTCTATGGGGTTCAAGTCAGGTGACTGTGATGGCCACTATAGAATTTTCCAGGACTTCTTTGCCAACTAAGCCTTGGTGGAATTTGAGGTATGCTTGGGATCATTGTCTTGTTAGAAGGTCCAATGACGCTGAAGCTGCAGCTTCCTCGCAGACAGCATGACGTTTTCTCCTAGGATTCCCTGATACTTCAATGAATCCATCTTGTCTTTCACACGCTGCAGGTTTACAGTGCCAGAAGATGCAAAGCAACCCCAGAGCATCACAGAGACCCCACCATGCTTAACTGTAGGCAGTGTTCTGTTCAGCTTATGTTTCATTCTTCTACTTCCAGACATACCACTGATCCATATGGCCAAAAAGTTCTAGTTTTATTTCATCATTTCAGAGAACAGAATCCCAATCTGTGGCTTATTTATAAGATTTTGATCATTTTGGAGCCGACTTTTCTTGTATCTTTGGGTTAGTGGAGGTGTACGTCTTGTAGTTCTGGCAAGGAAACCTTCTGCATTTAGTATGGGCCTTTCTGTGCTCACCCAAACCTCAGTACCTGTTGCCACCAAGTCCTACTGCACGTGTTTTCCAGTCACTTGAGGGTTTTCCACAACCTGTTCTCTCAGATTCATTGTGTTGAGCTATTTCAATTGATTTTGTTTGATTTGTTCAAAGCAAACAGCTGAACATCTGTAAATACTGACAAGAAACCTGATTTAGTTGCCTCGGCACCTCTTTGCCGCCCATGTTGTCATCAAGGATGCATGGCCTTCATCGTCATGGTCTTATCCATTGCTCCTCATAGAAGAGTGTTGGGGACCTGATGCAATTGCCTTATGGCATTCTATCTTCCTTATAGGAAATCATTGTATTATACATCTTCCTATGGGTACCACGTCACTTGATCAAGTTTTACTCGATCAGTGCAGCAAAAGCGTCTCTAGTGGCTGTCAATATGACATTGCAAGGTTAAAAGGAGGACAGAGTCACTGCACCCAGAGTGCTTTAATAAATTAAAGTGGTCTGGGTGACTATAGTGTCCCTTTAAAGTTTCATTGAGAGGTAGAAATTAAATGCACTTCAGCTTGAATTTAATAAAAAAGTGCCAGTTTCTATGAGGTTCATAATGGTTCAAACCCTGTCTCTACTTTTACCTGCTGCCGTTGTGCGTTCATTAACTATGTCATTTGTAAGCATGAGGCAACTCTACTAAGCACTCTGGGATGCTTTCAGGCCTTAAGAGATAAGTGGTGCTACTTACCCAAAGAGGGGTAAATAAGGCTGTTCCCAGATAGCAAGAATTATCCAGGAGATGCACTAAAAAGGAGTTCCCTGGCAGTCCTCCTGGTATTCACTGTTCATACTTCCGCACCAGCATACCAACTTTGCCCATTAATCATTTACAGAGATTATCAGCTAGCCTGGGAAATCCTGACATAACCATTACAGGCCTCTCTTTCTCTCTATTTAAATGAAGGTATACCTCTAATAATCACAGAATATTTTAATCTTCAATGTAGTCCATCATCTTAAAAATGTAGCCCATGATCTTAAAATAACTTTAAAATTGGATGTATTTTTTATCAAAAGCAACAATTTATTTTACTTGTGTTTTTTTTCTAGACATTACTCTACAGTGGCTTATTCAGCATTCCAAATCCCGGAGAAGCTGAGAAGATCAAAACCCCATCTGCAGTCTTAAATATTGTGGAGAGTTTATTGTCTGGGACTTATCAAAGTTCCAAGAAAATGAAAATGCACCCAAATCCCTCATATTCGTTCTCCCCTCTGTCTGTCTGTGTATTCTCTTGTCATTTTCACCAATCTTTCCAGCTCTCTTTTTAACTGTATTTTTACACTCTCCTGCCACTTTCCATTGTAAGATAAAATCACCCTACATGCTCTAATTCCTTCCTTTATCCATACTTCTCCCTTTTTATTGTTGTTGATGTGGGTGTGTGTGTGTGTGTGTGTGAGTGTGTATATATCTATAAATGTGTATATATAACTTAATTGTTTTTATTTAATGTAATATTTTAGTTCTGCTGACCAGTCATTGCCTCAATGTATGATCTGTGTGTATGTGTATATACACATGAGCATATAGACAAGACATTCCAGTGCTACTTTAACCTACTCTTGATTATATGTATATAATCTGCTATTGTTCAAGGGTTTGCACACGGAAATATATATGTTTTTCCAACTGAAGTAACTGGGTCCTCTTGACTCTCTTCTCCAGTGAGGAATAAAAATAATGAATGAAGTCCTGGTTACCATTTTCTCCCCAGTGTGCCGGCTTATTCTACTGCCTAGTCAGCTACTGTTTTGTTACAGAAATGACCACCTTTGTAGGTGATACATAAAGTGAATAAATCTTTTATGGAAAACCTCTACTTGAAATGACTTAACAAGTGAACTAAGACAGGGAGGATGGTAATTTCCTCTGGTTGGATAATGCTTGTTTTAAAAAATCAAAAACATTTTAAATAAAATTAGTTCTGTGCTCTTTTTTTAAATTTTTTTTTTTACTGCACTTCTATGATATCGTAGTATACTAATTTCCTATATGTCTGCAAGGGTGGCAGAACATTGCTTTCTCATGACAAATTTGTAAATGTACTGCATATTAAAGATAATGCTCTGGAAATGGGTTGTCTGAATCCGTTTTCAAAGTCCATACCTGGAGTGTCAGTAATTATATAATTGATATGTGATTAATAATTAACCATGGGTACTAAACATTGAGCTATGTATTTACCCTGAAACCCTGCTGTGTTGAAGATCAAACTAACCCCTTTCTACAGAAATTTCTACAGTTCCTATGAAATTATTGTTGTGCATATTACTTTATGTCTGCTTTATCCCCATGTATAATTTTTCTTTATTTTTTGGCTTCTAATAAATTAATAATTTTGTCAGTGTTTAAATGATTCCTTCCTTATGGGTTGAATACAAATATATATGAGATACAATACAAGAGTGTTGATTTTTTAAAAACAATTCTACTTGTCCAAGGGACTAAAGCAGTAGCCTAATCTACGTGTCCATCATAACAATCTACTTGTCCAAACAAAATAATTTAATTTACAGAAATTGGAGCCCTGGACATTGGCAAGGTTATTTGCTAAATGCAGAATTTTCATAAATTAAATCTAGAAAAATAGAGGCAAAGGTAGCTACAAGAATTGTAAAGTTGTTTTTTTTTTAAGTTACCATTACAATTACATTGACTGTCTTACCCTCTGCTCTCCCATAGTCTATTTTTTGTCTTAGATTGGGATGTTTTTCAAGTGTGTGTAGTGTGTCCTGGCTTTGTGTCATGTGTGCAGTGAGTGCTGACTGCTTGGTGTGTGCTCATTCTCTGTGTGGAGTGTGGTTGCTGTGTGCCGTGTGTGCAATGAGTACTGACTGCTTGGTGTGTGCTGGCTGTATGTCACGTTTGTTTGGTGTGGGCTGTCTGCATGTCATGTGGTGTGTGCTAGCTGTATGTCATATGTAGTTTTTGCTGACTGTATGTAATTTTTTGTGTGTGTATTTGGTGTGGGCTGGTGGTATGTCGGGTATATGGTGTGCTGGCTGTAAGTAATTGATACACTTTCTGATACAAATACACATATACTGACCCATACACAAACACACTGCACACACATCCACACAATTCTTTGAGATTCAGACACAGCACAGTCTGATTAAGTATTTTAGTCATCACTCTCTGCAAGCCACCAGTAAGCAGCAGCTGGACCCAGGAGATTTCCCGGTGGACCAGTCCTGATGTTCTTATGGCTCGTCCAAGGCATCATTTCCCTCAATATAGCGCTAGTGCTTGCCCGCAGCAAAGATAAAAGAATAAAAAACTGAATGTACTGGGATGATCTAAATTTCATACCTGTGCAATGTCTTTTTGTTTTTGCAATGCCCTTCCTTGTTAACTTTGTAAAGGTCTTTGCCAAGAGCATTTAACAACTTGCAAAGTTGACAGGATATTCCAAAAATGTGCAAAAGCTCACATGAACTGATTGTATTCTAATATGAAATTTGTTTGAGTTCTGCACCCACAAGATTAATTACTTGGAACCCATCTGGATTTATGGAAGATGTTCTAACCAGAACAGCAGATATGTAGTTATGATGTAGCACATAACTCTCAAGCAAGAAGTTATGGTGACGCATATCTAAACTTGCAGTTAAGAGATTAGGGAGCGTACCATAATTGTCTGTAATCTGGTGATTATGCTCTGAATTTTATATGACATGGCAAGTGATTATTAGAAAAGTTCAATTAACATATGTAAAATTCAGAGTTTAGTCACCAGATTACAAACAGTTATGGTACCCTCCATGATCTCCTCTTAATAGCATGTTTTGTGTGTACACAGTTAATATAAAAGTGCTAATAAGCACTTGTAACAGACCTCCTGGTTTTGCCTGGCCAACAGACTTGAAACATGGATTTGTTAATGTTGTTATATTTCACATACGAATGGGAAAATTAATGACATTGCTAGCCCATTCGTACGAACGAACAAACTACCGAACCAGAGACAACCCAGCCCAGGCATGTGCCTCAAACGTTCTAAGTGGTTTACTGGGTTGCCGTCGATTAGTATGTACGAACACGTGGTGGTGGCCATCTTGTTTTGTCAAACGTTTGTCGAGTGTCTGGAACTATTTTCGAACACTCAAACTCCTGAACACCGCTAAGACTTCCAGGACCACTTAGTTTCGCACAGATTTATACGAACAAGATGGCGTTCGGTTAAAGTAATCCACGAACGGGGCAGCACATGACCAGCAAACTCACGAACAATAAAAAGCATGACTGTTCGGTATTTTAATTGTACGAAAAGAGACCGGCAGCACCAGCTGAACGCATGGAACTATTTTGGGCAGGAGCCTCGTGTACGGCCAGGCAGGGATGGGACTTCCAGCTATCTCACGAACCCCTGAACCGATTCGTATGATTTTTGCATATGTTTGTCCCCTAATTATGCTTGTTCTGAAAATTTAAGTTTTATTGGAATCGAATGTATAGTTTTGATGTTATAAAAATTTAGTAAAAAGTATATTTTTCGCTTGGCCATAATTGAGCTGATACAGCAATTAACTCGATTATCTCCCAAGCAGAGGGGAGGAATTTACTCTAATGAATGTTTAACTGTGTAAATGATTGGTTGTTGAGTTTTTGTTTTTGGTGCCCAACAAGGTCCACATGTTGGGGAAAAGTTGTATAAAAGAAATGCTTGTGTGCCCATTAAATCAGTTCCTGCTTAACCCCTCAATACGTAGCCTTGTATCGTTATTGAAAGGAACCTGCATCTAGCTAAATCACTAGCTCTTGTAAGAGCTCTGCTACTCTCTCTGTCCTGATCCAGTTGATGGGACATCTGGAATACTCTACAGCACAGTCTCTCGCCAGGGAAGGACCTCTCCAACGGCAGACACTCCTCTGACAACCTGTGTGGCCGTTACATCACTGCACTTATATTTGACACTAAATCTGGTTATGCAGTTTATGTCATAGTTTTCTAATCATACATAATACCGATTATGGAACAGCTCATATATAAAAATACATTTTTAAGTGTTTTAATTCTACTTAAAATTATCTATCTCAGCAAACAAATATGAGGATTCAGTTCCACCATATAGCCATATTGTGTTAAGCCCACCACTACTTCACAGTATCCCAATGTGTGGTAGTGTAGTGGGGTCCTACACTAATTCCAAATGTGGGAGACAAACTAAATAGCCTTATAAAACTTCCTATAAGACCTTATAAGATTTTTAAAAATGTATTTTTATGTGTGCGCTGTTCCTTAATCTGTGTTATGCATGAATTTTGGTCAGTACGGCAGCACCATTCCTGAAAAATGCATATTCCGGTTGTGCCCCCAATTCCTTTTTGTCTTTACTATGTAAATTTGGAATCCAGACCAGATTCTCTTTGGAGCTAAGCACTCCACGCAGCTTCCAGCTTTAGAGACTCCTTGACCACAGGTATATGTTTGAGAAGTTTTTGGATAGTGGTGTCACTTTAATTATAATTTTCATAGCAGCAGATATATGCTATGCATTGTGAGTATATTTATCCAAGCACTATAACTTGAATTGTTTAGTTTTTAACAGTTTTTAATTGCTTTTATTACATTAATTTTGCATTATAAAAACTCACAAAAGATGAATTAAATACACTTCAGCTTATTTCACACTAGCACTATTCTAGCTTCTTTTGGATCAACAGCAAAAAACAAATGTGAGGAAGCCTGAACTTGAGACACATGTCTCTTTTCAGTCTATATATCTTATTGCAAGATTCTAGTTAGCTAAGAAAAAAAAAAGTCTTAATTTATAGCATGTTCCTCAATGGCTTCTTTCTTTAATGTAGCAAAAACTGCAAGTTTTAACCTTTCACATAGCCTGACTGTGTGCTTACTATTAGAGCAATTAGATTTTTGTATTTTTTTTTTTTTTTAAGGACCACTCTAGGCACCCAGACCACTTCAGCTTAATGAAGTGGTCTGGGTGCCTGGTCCTTCTAGGGTTAACCCATTTTTTAATAAACATAGCAGTTTCAGAGAAACTGCTATGTTTATGAATGGGTTAACCCTTCCCCCTAATCCTCTAGGGGCTGTCTCATTGACAGCCACTAGAGGCGCTTGCGTGCTTCTCACTGTGATTTTCACAGTGAGAGCACGCCAGCGTCCATAGGAAAGCATTATGAATGCTTTCCTATGTGACCGGCTGAATGCGCGCGCAGCTCTTGCCACGCGTGTGCATTCAGCCGACGGGGAGGAGAGAGAGGAGGATCGGAGGAGGAGAGCTCTCCGCCCAGCGCTGGAAAAAGGTAAGTTTTTACCCCTTTCCAGAGCCCTGAGGGTGGGGGCACCCTCAGGGCACTATAGTGCCAGGAAAACGAGTATGTTTTCCTGGCACTATAGTGGTCCTTTAAGTATTCTGTTGTCCCATTATTTGTTGTAGTTTGAATATAGGCAATTACAACATTTTTTTTTCCATTTGTTATGTGGTTGCAACACTGCACTGTATGCCAATTTTGAAGAAATAAATCAGCACTTGAATTTAAAAGTATTTGCTCTATACTTTATTTTTGATGTAGTCTTCATGAGTGCGGTTTTTGTCTATTATATTTACTTTGGAAATATGGACTTAAGACACCCGCACTAGGGACCCTAAGAAATCCAACAAATAAGTAAGTACCATTAAAAGATTTATTGGATGAAGTTTGTGCTTTTGTGCTAGAGGCACGCTTCGCTTCTGTGTGTATTACGTTTTGCTGAACGTCAATATAAGGAGTGTTCTGAATTATTAGGCCAGTATTCGAAAAAGTTGATGTCAGAGTTTACATGATAAGAGGTGCTGATCATAGCAGCAACCATTATACATAGGAACCCAATATGCAAATAAACCACAATACACAACAATGACAGAGGAAAACAAGTATATTAGTTACTTGAGCAAAAATGGTTAACACAAATGCAAAACAAGAGATCCAGGAATCTCAATATAAGGACATTGTTAAACCAACGGAAATCAGGCTTTCTGGATACTGGGAGTAAGGGAGCTGGGCCACTGGACTTCTGGACACAGGGAGCAATGCTTCCAGTAGCAGGGCACAGGGAGCAAGGCCTTTAGGAGCAGAAGACTGGGCGCATAGCCTCCAGGAGCAGAAGAGTAGTTGCAAGGTCCCCAAGAGCAGGAACTCCAGGAGCAGGGCACTGCAACCTAGGTCTCCTGGAGCAGAGAGAGAACATAATTATGAGGTAAGGCCATCTGGAGACAAAGTCAGATCTCTTTAGGCTGGGTGAAATAGCCTGAAACAGCACCACAGAAATGTAGAGCTACTGCTCCAGACTAAAGAGATCAAAAAACGTTATATATTATTATTATTAATTATAAAGCACCAACAAATTCATCAGCATTGAACAATGGGTTGACTAGCAGACACGTAATTGTAACCAGATGAGTTGGACTACAGCTAATGTAGGGACTGACAGAGGGGGGAGGTGCGGGCGGACAGGAAGATGAGCCTTGCTGCCCCATTCATTATAGACTGTAATGGGGCAAGTTGGGAATGTAAGACCACTGAGAAGTGGATTGCAGTAGTCAAGGCAAGAGAGAACAGTGGCATGGATCAGCACCTTAGCCACGTTCGGCGTTAAACAGGGGTGGATGAGTGCTATGTTTTTTGATATGGAAGCAGCAGGATTTTGCAATCGACAGGACATGAGGGATGAAGTCAAAGAGAACATCTAGGCAGTAAGCATGCGAGGTAGCGTCGTTGACTTAGAGGGAGACAGACATGTAGCAACACTTGAGGGAGGAAAGACCAGAAGTTCTGTTTTGGATAGGTTGAGTTTAAGAAAGTGAGCAGCCATCCAGTTGGAAATACCAGAGAGGTAATTAGAGACACAAGTCAAGAGGGGTTGTAGAGAGATTCAGAGATGATAGATTTGTGTGTCATTTGCATAGTAATGATATTGTAAGCCAAAGATGCTGATGAGTTTACCAAGGGAGGCAGTATAGATCGAGAACAGTAGGGGACCAAGGGAGAAGATGCAGAGCCAGAGAAAGAAACACTGAAAGAGTACTGGGAGAGGAAGGAGAAGCACATAGACTGAGATTACGGTGGATGAGAAGACACTTTTGATGAGCAACAGTGTCAAAAGTAGCAGAAAAGTCAATAGTTATCGTGAGAATTAGCAGCGATTAGATCATAGGATACTTTGGTCACAGCTGTTTTGACAGAGTGATGAGTGTGGAATCCAGATTGAAGTGAGTCAAGCAGAGATTCCGTGCTGGATTTGCTGAAGTCTGTCAAATTTGCATACACAACTCTTTTAAGGATTTTGGAGGCAAACGACAGTACTGAGATAGGGAACTAGTTGGATGGGGAGTCAAGGTTAGGCTTTTTCAGAGTCGGATTATGATTGCATGTTTGAAGGATGAATGAAGTGCCAGAGGAGAGGGAGAGTGTGATGGTTACCCCTATGGAGTGGGGGTATTTACCGTCTGGGCGTCCCTCTTCCCAGTACTGGAGAACACTGCAGAGTTCCACTCGATGTCCTGAGGAGCTGGTAGCGCTCCAGGAGGGTGTAGCTGGGGCTCCCTCCTCCAGAAGGGTATAGCTGGGTCTCTCCTCCAGGAGAGTGTAGCAGTATAGCTGAAGAGAGCTCTTACAAGAGCTAGCAGTGATATAGCTGGTATAGCTGTTCCCTACAACAAGAGACAAGGCTAGAAGTTGAGGGTAAGAAGATCTGGTTTATTGAGTGCAAGGGGCATTTCTTTTATACAGTTTTCCCAACAAGATTACCACCCACGTGGACCTTGTTGGGCACCGACCACACAAACAACAAACAACCAATCATTTACAGACACACAGTTAAACACTCCCATTCATTACTGTAAAATTCCTTCCCTCTGCTTGGGAGATAATTGAGTTAATTCCTACATCAACTCAATTATCTCCAATGCGAAAAATATACTTTTTATACAACTCAAATCGGACACTCGACGGCACAAACACCGCTGAACTTTACCTTCTCTGAACTTCGGCGGGAGTTGAACGGTGTTCGACAATTCGAACTTTAACATTGACATTTGCACGAACGGTTGTCGTTCGTCTATTTGAACTGACTTTAACATGGGAAATAGACTGGCCACACAGCCAAATTCAGTGGAACTGTTTTGGGCAGGAAAGCCATGCTGCGGTCGGTCAAAAGAGACCTCCATAGACACTTGAACCCCATGGCAATTTGACTATGTTCATGGGATCTGAGAGCTGTTCGGATATATTGGGCGCTCATGTGGGGGTTCAGTTCTGTGAAACATAAGTTATATATTTTAATGTGTTTTTGTTACAGTTTTAACTTAGGGGCATTTTCTGTACCTGGAGATAATTGAGTTTACTACAGCCACTTAAGCCAATTATCTCCAGGATAGAGGGGAGGGATTTTACTGTGTATGTTGGAGTGTTACTGTGTTAATTGTTCCCATTGGTTTGTGTCCCTTTAGTCCCAGTTTACCACCAGGTCCAGGGTGTGTGCCTCTGGCGTGAAAATGTGTATAAAAGAAATGCCTTTGTGCACATTAAACAGATCATCTTGGTCTTTCGGCTCATGTTTGGGGGATTGGAGAACTACGCTCTGGGGATTGCTATAATATGGTAAGAGCTTGTTCCTGTTCCTGCTCTCTGGATTTAAGAGAGGTCTACCCACTGGGAGCTGGACCCTGGTCTCAGGGTGGGTAGGAGACGGCGAG